GTCACCCAGCTCGGGCAGCCGAACAGCCAGCAGCGCGTCAAGGCACTTACCTATCATCCTCATCTCCTTGGTACTCCGCAGTCCCATCGTGCGGGGAGGATGCCGACCGTGCCACGCCGAGATGATGTATTGCACCACCATGGAAGCCATCTCATTCAAGTCTTCATCGCTAGACGCCCCACCCCTCTGCGCCAGCAGCTGCTTGATCTGTTCGAGACCTGCCGCCAACAAGGCGCCTGGCTCGGACTTGCTCACAGCTAAGATCCGGCAACCTGAACCAGAGGGTGGGGCGTCACGAAAACTTGACGAGCTGTCACTGTCGCCATCCTCGTGCTTCTTCTTAGTAGTATTATTAGTAGTAGCATGATTAACCATATTATTAGTTTAATTAGTATTACTATTATTATTATTGTTATTATTAGTAGTAGTAGTAATATTATAAATAATAATATAATTAGTATTATTAGTATTAATATTTCTCCGTCTCTCCTGGCCTTCGAGGTACTGGTCAGCTCTGGCCGCCAAAGCTGAGCCGATGTCCGTTCTTCGCGAGCTGGCGCTTGAGGGTGTCCAGCATCTCTCGCAACATCCTGTGGTCCATGCCTCCGCCTGTCGGGTTCGGACCGTCAAGCATCGCTGCGCCCGCCGTGGCAGCGCCCGCTGGGCCGTCGCTGCCAGCGGCACCCGCGGGCAGCCCCGGCAACGCAGGCAAACCCTGCATCACCCCCTGAGCCGCCACTCCGCCAGCACCGCCGACAGCCAGAACGGGAGGCGCCACCACACGAAAGGTGTGGGCGCACACCACCGTCCGCCCAGGCCAAGTCGCCTGTTGGGCGGCCACGCTGGCGGGCTGGGCATACAAGCGCAGCACGGCCTGGCCCGTACCGAAGAGCCCCTGCAGCAGGGGGTCGTAGGCCGCCGCCGTGCACTTCACGAAGGACACCCCCACGAACATCCCGAAGCCGTCACTCGGCCAGCAGCCCTGCGCCGAGAACGTCCCTGCGCCGATGGGGGCCCCAGCGGCGTCAAACAGCACGACCTCGAGCTCGCACCCAGGGTACACGCCCAGCGACTGCAGCGCCATTGGCAGGGAAGGGCCGTGGATCCACTGGCCGAAGAGTCCAGGCCTTCAGCCACCGACACGCCGCCGCATGCTGCTCCAGGACCACTGAGGCCGAGCAGCCCGCCGCATGCGCTACCTATCATGGGGCCGACGAGCCCAGGGGCCGCCAAGGGTACGGGCATGCCCCCGCGGATCGGCACGGCGGCGGGGCCTCCCGCGAGGCCGCCAGCACCTGGCCAGCCGAGCGACACGCCGCCCCCCACACCTGGCTGAGCCAGTGGGGGGCCGCCAGCACCTGGCCAGCCCAGCGGCGCGCCGCCCCCGACACCTGGCTGAGCCAGTGAGGGGAGGCCACCATCAGCGGTTCCACCTGGCCAGCCGAGCGGCGCGCCGCCCCCGACACCTGGCTGAACCAGTGGGGGGAGGCCACCACCAACGGCTCTCGCGGCAGCAGGGGGGTGCGCCAAAAGCGGAACCGCCATCGCGCCGCCTGCACCTGCACCTGCGGCTGGGGCGGCCTTGGGGGGCACGGGCGCCTTGGCCTTGACAATGCCTCCCTTGCCAGGCCCAGGCTTCCCCATGCCGCCCATGCAGCCACCGCCCATGCCGGGTTTCGCCGCCTTCGCTGCAAGCCTCCGCCGCGGCGGCCCACCCAGCGCGGGTGGGGCAGCAGGCACGACTCCTAGGGACACAAAGGGCGGTCCGCCTGCGAAGCCCGCGCCTCCCACGCCGAGCCCCAGCAGGCCACCAGGCCCTCCGCCAGGGGCCGCTGCTTATCCGAGCATCCTGCTGCCGCGCCGCTGTGGAAAGAGATGTAGGAAGTGCAAGACAACGACGCTTCCCGGGAGAGGTTCACACAGCACACGGGGACCGCTTTACTAGGTAGATTGTATGTCAATGTATGGTTGCATACATTGACATATATATATATATATACACACACAAGCATCTGTGCATATATACACATATACATATATATTGATACGTAAATATTATCATACGCACCTCTCCGAGGGAGACGAGCTCAGAGGCGATGAATTGAAGGCCGCGCCGCGTCCGCGAGTTTTCTGGCCGTTTCGCTGGGGACATCCTCGAAATTCTGAAAATCGGTGGCACCCCTCAAACAGATCGTGACGTCAGGGTCCAAAAGCACATTGGGAATTCAACATTCTAACACAAAGCCTTCAAAAACACCATGTAGTTTCAATGTGTTGGACCCCGATTCTCAAAGAATGACGGTTTCGCCTGGTTTTTGGCGGCCACGTGATCTGCTTCTTTGAATACTCGTGTCGCTGGCATCACCACCATCCCCCCACTTCTGCGGACACGCGCACGACGCCGCAGAGTCCCCCAGCTTTTCGGAGCGCGGTGCACCGTCGAGTGCCCAGCCCGCCGCGGCAGGTCAGCAGACTGCTTTGCTTTCTGCTGCTACGCCTT